AGTCCACACCTCCAAACTCATTTTCTTAACAAGACTCCAGGTATGCTAACACTTGACTCCAATGAGCTTTTTTGAGGTCAATAACTCAAGGGTTCATATACTTTTTCCACTAGAGGTTTTTATGGTTGTTCTCAATAAAGACATGAGAGATCAGAATTTCTTTTGTGTTGTTATATTAGGCACATTATATTTGTCAGTACTCTTGACTTAGATGAAGATCAGATCACATTTTATGACAAATGAATGCAGAAAACCATGAAATTCCAAAAGGTTCACATACTTTTTCTTGCCACTGTATACAGTATGTTCATATGTCTATTACAAGATTTTTTTTATTTATTTTGAATATGTCAAAGAAGAAAAGTTTAATTTTGACATAAACAATACCAACCCTGTTTTATGTAATAAATTTTGTACTGCAGCAGGTTCCATTTTCTTAAATCAGAACTATGACCTGTTGTGCACCCAGGCCTGTGTTTGATAGGCACAATCGATAATCCATCCACGGCTAATCTCTCTGGGAACAGTGAGTGTATTTGCATGGACATGAGAATCCTGGTTATTAAGAGTATCCTGGTTTTGACCATATTCAACATTAGCCCCAGCTTGTGCCTCTCACATATAACATACAATCAAGTCACAGAGATAATCTTCTGTTGATCTGTGAAACTGAGACTTGCCCACCATTTTAAACCTATACCATCATTTGACAACACTCAGCTAAATTCTGAAGGTATTTCCTGAACTGTCCTAGACTCTTCTAACAACGTGGAATCAAAAATAATCCAGTGCGTTCCAAGAAAAGTATAATCTATTTTCATCCGTCTCATAAAAAAGAAATATGATAGGAACTTACTTTGTCACTCTGGCTTTGTATGAAAGCGGCTCGACCACTGATTATGAGCTGGACTTCCACAAAAAGCATGAAAGGCGACACCATTTCCTGTCACCATCTCTGTTTAACTGAAAAGAATTGTTTTGCCCAAGAAACTGACAAAACTTTTTTTTTTCCTGGACTGGAACAGATCATGTTTGAATCCACATTGTTAGAAGAGTCTATGACGACTTCGGAAAATACCTTCAGAATTTGGGTGAGTGTTATGACAGTACCGGGTTAAAATGGTCTCAGTTTTGCAGGTAAAGGGAAGATGACTTTTGTGATTTGAGTGTACGTAATACATGAGAAGCACAAATCAGAGCTAATTAGTCATATGCTGCTTACATGGAACAGAGAAATCTGGTTATGCAAACATGATAAAAACTAGTATCCTAGTGAGTGATGACTACTAAATCTTCAGCCCCCTCAACTGTGTCATCTTCTCTATCTATCAATATAAATATGTTAGAAAAATGTTTCCTAATTGGATATACTATGTGCTAACCTTAATAACCGGAGTTGATGTATCGCCTGTCGGAGGCTCAGTAACCACTGGACAGGAAAAGCCAATGTTAATAGCCCCTCTTTCCTCTGCAGTGGAAAGTGGACAGTGGCCAAGCATGTCATCAAATATTTTGAAAAATCTGAAAGTTGATGGACTTGACCCAGTTCTTTTATTTTGATGTTTGGCCATTTTTCTTCAGGATTTCCCACCATGATCTGACTTGGTGCACTGTAGTTACACTATGAGTTGAGAAAGCGGCATCCCATAAGGTATCCACTACACATTTGAAAAGGCCTGCATTTCTATACATTCTCCCATCTAAATTACAGAGTATATTTAAATTTTTCATTAACAAAAGATAAAATTCCATCTCTTCATGGGTCCTAAAGTCAGATTCTTTCACTGATTACACTGTTTCTGTTCATCTTAAGTTCAATGCTGCAGATAGTCTGGAAAGTCCAGAAACCTGGATAAGCCTTATAGATTTCTTTTGGAGTACTTAATCTAGCATATTTGTGTTTCTCAAAACCGGAATAAGAGGCTATACAGGCATCTGAAACTGGGATACTATTTTACATGCACAATACTTTAAAACCTCAAACATAACCAGGTTAATCAAGTCCACTTAAATGCATGCAGTGTGTGTGATGGGCTGATCCATGCCAGGTTTCAGAGATGCTAACAGTTGCAAGAAAGTGCATTTTCATAATGCGCATAAACTGGCTACAGTTTATGCCTCTCATAAATGCTTATGCTACATTGGGGTTATAGATGACAATGAGCTGGCCATGCTTGACAAACCCAGAAGGCTGTTTAAAACACTGACTGCTGTTAGGAACAAACCTCTCTGCATAAAAATAAGTTCAGACTGCTGAAAAATGAAAAATATATATATATTTTAACCCGTTTCACAAAGTGCCTTTGTTTCAGAATTAAAATGAAAACAGGAAACAGGTGCAAATTATATACAATGAAAAAGTAAAACCTGTTTTACCAATTTAAAAAGAGCAATTAAAATGTTTCTTTATATCTTACACTGGGGTAAAATGTTAAACAATGCCAATTTAGACATTAAAACAACACACAAAATATAATGTAATCCTACCTAACGGTTTAAACTATTCTAGATTTCACCATTGTGATACAAGTTATTGTCACGATTCATTTGAAAGCCAAATCTTAAAAGTCCATAAAGTGTCATACTGTAGTAGGGTCGAACGTTACCACTGGTGCCTATGTTACGAGTCTGATGTCTGTCCACACATCTCTCAATTAATCATAGTGACTAAACACGGTGAGTTAATGTTACTGGTTTTAACGTTTAGTCGTCATATTAAAGCAATGTGTTCGCATTAGGGTTTTGACTTTCCTAAAACCATAATAAAAAAAAACCCACAACCAATAGCATAAATAATGAATACGTTAACAGAGTTCAATGTGTTCAGTTCTTAGCAGTAACTTAGTGCCTTACCTGACTCCGTAGTCTGTGAGAATGGACACACTAATGTTTAGTGAAACACCCTACAACCGTTCAACGTGCATAAGGCCAGTTTAATAACTGGCTCCGGTAACTGCATTAAAGTTTCAGCTAACATTAACCTTCATATGTCACACCGCCATTCGAAGTTCTTTTGCGCATGCCACGTTTTCCAGACAGCTGATTGGTTAGTTGATTCACTTCCTGTTTTCTAAGTATTTTATTTTCCAAGGGACAGATTTTATAATTGTTTAAATAATGTATAAATTAACCCGGATTAAAATATGGAACTAACGCAGACTTCCCTTCCGCACAGATATAGATCTAATCATGGTTCTATGAATCTAATATGTTTTTATCTCTGCAGGAAGTCCGTCGCTCATAATAGAGCCGTGAGTTTAACAGGTTTTGCACAAGGTTCCGCTTTGCAAAAGTGTTCACATCCTGTAGTTTACATTTAGGATAGTCAAAAGATGATCCAAAACATAGATATGTGAAATATAGCTACAATATATTTGAACTAGCATCAATATCCGAAACTGAAGTTTATGATTAGTCAAAACTGCAATTGAAATATCTTGAGATTAAATTCTGACTAGTCATAATGTCCTTTAAGAATTCTGCAAAAGTATCTTTCAAGGTGCGTTAAGGGTTGGCTCTGAGCCTGCTGCTGTAATCACATTACTAAAAAGAGTAAATGAAAAGAAAAGATACAGTTTCATAGCACCAAGTATTCAGTTCTTTGTTTTGTAGGATTATTAATTTTCAGTGTTGGGGAGTACCTACGGGGTTACATCCTATATTCTTTTCAGTAAAAAGCTTAGAATAATGTTCATTCTGTTGTTATGCATCATGTCACCATGTAGGAATGTCTTCTTTTACCATGATTCGGCATAATGCTGGCTTGTGACTGGAGGGTTGCCTGGACTGGCAGGATTAAATCTGGATGGTTGGGACAGGGACAATTGATTGCCTCACTGTCATTAACACCACTGTGGTGCCCTTGAGCAAGGCCCTAACCCCAGCTACAACATACTGTATACCTGCACTACTTCAGTACCTGTGTTAGAGAATATCTTGCTGATTTCCAAATTAACTTGTTTTTTTAGGTCAGCTGGCTTAGAAGCTAGCTAAGATAGTAGCTTAACTAGAGCAATGGCTTCTCCCTCTTCCTCTCCTTGTTTATCTTGCTTGGATTGTCACATGTTTATTTATTCCTCACCTTTTTTTTTTAGCTATAATGATATTTGTAATAAATGTCAGATGCTAGCAGCATTGGAGGTTACATTCTGTATATACAGATAGGTGACAAGTGAAAGATAAATCCAACATTAAATGTCTTATTAAGGTGTGGTGGGCACCATGTGCTGTAGTGCACCTTGGCATTGAATTTTCAAATCTATGAACTCTACAGGAGAGATGAACACTGTTCTTCTAAGAAATATTCCCTCAAGTGGTGTTTTGATTATGGTAGTGGAGACGCTATCTAATACGTCCCTCCAAAATCTCCCATAGATGTTCAACTGCATTGGGATCTGGTGACTGAAAGCCATAAGCATATGATTTACATAATTTTCGTACTTATCAAACTATTCAGTGACCCCTCGTGCCCTGCAAATGGAGGAACTGTCATCCTGAAAGAGATCAATTACCTATTCAGGTTTAACCTTCCATTGTTACCTATCTACAAATAAAGCCGACTTGCCTTGCATGACTGTGTTTTTCTTGAAAAAAGTGGGGTGTAATATCATAGAGAATACTGCAATTAAGCCAAAACTATTTAGCAGGTGTGTTACTGTCACCCTGTTCTATTTATAGTCAATATTTTCTAGCCTGTAATTGTTCTTGGCAGTTTTATTATAAAGTCACACACTGATTGATGTGTTGTATGATTTCATGTATAAAATAGTAAAGTATGTTTATTTTTGTATACTAATTGTAAACATAGTACATTATGAAAAGTACTATGGTACATATTGTTAGCCGTCCCTGGCAGGCGCTCTCGCCGCTGCGCCCCGGGTTCGAATCAGGGTTGCGTCAGGAAGGGCACCCGGCGTAAAACACGTGACAAATGTCAACATGCGAAATGTCAGATTCGCTGTGGCAACCCCTAAACGGGAAAAGCCGAAAGTGACTTTCTACTATGGTACATATTGTTACAATGATTATGTAGCGAGAGACACACTGAGTGAAAGTGATAGCAGTTATAATACTAATAATAATACAAAGAACACAAATTAAATGTTGTAGTATATCAAGAGACCCTTGAAGTGTTGAGTGATTGTGGTGACTCTACATTGTAAGTGTGAATTTACTGAATATCTTTCCCAATAAAAATTACCCCAAATTCTGAAAAAAAAATTTGTGTTCTATTATAATACTAATAATATAGATACTGCACAGCCTGCACTGCTGTTATTGCACTTCTAGTTAGATGCTAAACTGTATTTTGTTGCCTTGTATTTGTATATGGGTAATGACAATAAAGTTGAATCTAATCTAATCTAATCCAATAATGAACAAGAGTTATTTAAGTTGTTTAGTATTTTTGAAGTAGGCTCTCTCTTTTTGATGTTGCATTTTGTAGATGGTCCTTGGTCTCACAGCCGGCTGCACCAAGACCAGTGTTATCTGTCCAGTGAGTATGTATGTGTGGGGAAAGCTCGGAGGATGGCTCATTTTGACAAAAACTAGGTTGTAGCTTGTTTTCTATTTCACTGTGATTGGAAAAAGGAGCTGTTTATGTTTTAACAAAGTTTCACTAGGGCCATGAATATTATTGCAACTTTACCATAGCAGCTTCTCAAGCTAATGCAACTTAATTCAGTACATACATACATACATAATATCTACAGTATGTACCGTATGCTAACTAGGTTAGCTAACATTTAGCTGTAAAATAGGCCATATTTGTTGATCATCTCTCTATCAGCTTTCATTTATAAGATATTAATCCACTCTGGGTGTAACTGCCCACCTAACAATACAGAGGAATATCCACTCAATTGTTTGATTAGCTTGATGATAAATCACACAAACACTGATTGGTGATTAGCATGTCATTCCTGTTGCCAACCTACATTTAAGATCAAGCCACCTCCATTTTTTCCAGCATAGAATGCTTGTTGTTGTTTTTATGTTCATTTTGATGTATCACCTTTTTAATGTTCATTTTGGCTTAAGGCAGTTGATGCATCTAAGTGTTGATATGGTAGGGAAACCTTGGTAATGATGTTAACAAATAAAACAATCAATACACAGGCACTTTTTGCACAGTTGTGGTCTTGACTGGTCTTGAAATAAAATCCTGAGTCCACTTTGAGACCGAGACAAGACCAAATAAAAATGTGGTCAATTTCAAGATGAGATCAAGACTTTCACAAATTGGTCTTGAGACCAAGACTGATCTTGATTTCTATAACACTAAGCTGCACTTCTCCTGTTTCAGTCAGGTGTTGTAGTTGAGGGCGAATCATTGGGAAGGCCCAATGAAGAAAGTCTATGGCTCTCATAGATGGTGAGCTTCCCATTTGATCTTCCTGGAACTCAGTATCTACACGACTGCTGAAACAGTTAAATGAATAACCTGCTTTATGATAGGATTGTGCCAGTCACCTGAAGTGGTACACATTGAACAAGGGTGCACCATGATCAACACTGATACCCCGTGAACGACTCAGAACCTGACAGATCAGACTGTTGTCTGGGCTGAATCTCAACCAAGCTGACATTGACAAATAAGGCTACAGTGATCACCAGACTGAACAAAAACTAAAAAAAAAATATTATGGACAATTTTCTTTTTGTTTGATTAAAGGGCCTGATTTTATTTTATTGTAATATTATGTGCACTGTTCAGTTAAAAACTAAAGCTACAGTTGGTGTATTCGCTTGTGTTGCGTTGTTTGTTGCACTTAACTCCTTACAAATCTAGAGGTGTACTTACCCAGGAGTGGGTTACACCAGCAATAGGGTTTCATGGTCAAGCAATCATATTATGAGGGTCAAACTATCATGGAAATATTGGTTTGAGGTATAATGGCTTTATGGGGAAACTGAGTTGCCTTGGTGGAGATGCAGCAGTAGTTAGTAGTTTATTTACCCTACATATAGAATGTTGTAAGTCTACCACTGATGCTGCACTGGGCTTTGGGAACATGTGATGAGCATTTCTCACTTCTCTGGTTTTTAACAGAATTCATTTTTAATCAAAACACTAATCAGAAGATTGATCAATAATGAAAAGAATCACTGCAGCTCCATAGAAAACTGTTTAACACGAACTTCACTTCAACAGCTTTAAAGTTCATTTAAGTTATTAAACTTATTACCTTACTAGTACATTTAGCTAAGTAAAGTTTTCAGAACATAAAACATTTGTACACAGCGGTGTCGTAAACTTTTACTGTACTAATACGAGTACTTCTTCCACCACTGAACATCAGCTTTCGCAGATTCATTCAGGATTTTTGTGTATGAAAAGTATTTAAGAATAAAATACATAACATATTCAGCTTATTTTATCTCAGCTGTCCCATCACTTCTGAATCTCTCGCATTTGTCATTGGTGATGTGAGCTCGGATTAGTCTGGTTCTAGACAGTTCTACTCTCTGTCCACTAGATGCTGCTGACTGACAATCTGATAAACTAGAAGATCAGCTGCTGTCACTCAATTCCGACCAACAACACAACTCAGCAGCTTGGATTCTCCAAAACACAGCCACCTTACAACACTTTTACTTTCAACGTTTCCACAAACAAGCAAACATCACCGGTGTTTTGACTCCAGCTTTTGGCCTTTTCACACATGGAAAGTAACTGGAGTCATTTGCTAAATTGTTATTTATTCAGTTATTTAAAATTGCTTTCTAACTATTTTGTTTTTTTTTTCTCACATTCTTCCAATGTTTTTTTTATTATTACTTTTTCTTTTATTTCTGTCCCTCTGGTCCAGCCCAAGTTGTTACGGGACCCTAAGCAAAATTTGATTTGGGAGCACTCCACCCCCCTCTTCACTGTTGTCAGTGCTTGTTCATTTGTCCATTTACTGACATCTAACACACCAATTATTGCTTACATCATATCAATGTCAGCTTGGGTGTTTTATGCTTCCATGATTTTTAATCTTAAAAGGTAACAAAGTCAAAGTTAAAGTGTTTATTGTCATATGCACAGTTAGGAAACACATTTCCCTATACAATAAAATTCATACTTTGCTGTCCACATGAATGCCACACAATACAAGTGAAATATAAAGTAGATA